CTTTTCCTCATTTGTGCAACGCAATTTCAAGCAAAGCTGGTTAAACATAAGGTTTCTTAGACAAAAAGTAACATGAGAAGTAGGTTGTTGAAAGGGAGATCGAGTGCAACTTTTAACTCTTTAAGAAAAAAAAGCACATTTAATAGTTTTGCTAAACCTATCATCATTTAGTGAACAGAATAGTTTCATATTCATGGTTTTCATATTTTATCTTTTGTTTATGATGTCAATGGGCTATGCATTTTTTATTAGGGTGAATATTTTTTTGGGTAATAAATACATAAAAACTCAACAGATGACTATCAGCTTGTATTTAAATACAGATATGAATGTTTAAACTACTGCATGTTCAAGATTTAGCATAAATTTAGGAAAAAATGACAAGAATTGTCACTTTTATCTGTGTGATTCTCTGCACTGATTCCCCAGAATTGCCGGCTAATGAGCGCAGAGGGGGACTCATCAAAGATAGAACCGAGAGGTTCAGAACTCCCGCATCCTTTTGCTTTCTTCATGGGCAGCAGCTCACTGAGCTCCGCTGTTCTGCAGTCCTAACCCAGTGATGGCTCAGCTTCCTAGCACTCATCTGTCACCTAACCACAAAGAGAGGCTTAGCAGGGCTGTTCCTCCACAGGTCAGCAAAATGCCGCTAACTAACTTACGCCAGTGAAATACCCCAACCGGCATCACTAGGAAGTCTGACACGATGCAAAGCTAGTGGATTTGTTTGATTATTGACAAGTGCAGTTGGACAGCCGGGCATACATAGTTTGTGCTTCCAAACATGGTACAGTTGAGGAGTTATGCAGGCGATTTGCAAATAGCTGTATGGTGCTATGGAAGCGGAGTGCACTCATAGTTTATCTGCAGTCATGTTTCTTGGTTCCATTTCTCTAAAGCTGCCTCTGGTGGGGAAATCTGAATCCTAGCAGAACAGGCAATATCCTGGTACATGACCACAGAGGAAGCTGTGCTGGCTCCAGCGAGGGCGGCCCCGGAGTGGGTGTGGAGGGACAGGAAGTGGGATGATGACTCGCATACCATTGCAATTACAGAGAACACAAGTGGGCCGCTGTATCCACAGGCAGGATCCTTTTAGGAAATTCCACTAAAGGAAAGCGGGGCTTCCTGCGCTGAAGGAGCAGAGTGCACTCCGCATGGTCATTAGGTCTGCTCCTGCTCTCAAAGACTCTGGTGGTTTCCTATGTTCAACCCTGCCTCCGGCTGCCCTTTCACCCTGACTCAATTGGGACCCCTCGCAGAATGAGCCCCCAAAGGCTTCCCAAGCCTGCTCCACCCAATTGAAATGGGGCAAAGGATTTAGAGATGTGTCATGTTTGTGAGGTGCTTACTAGGGTCACACAAATTCCCAGAGCACTCCGTGCAGTGTGACGTGGGCATCTCCTTTCTAAGCACAGGAGGTGCAGAGGTTTCCTTCCTAACAGGAAACAGTGAAACTCCTGCTCATTTGCAAAACTGCTGTCTTTGTTGTCCAAGACATAAGCGATGTTGGGCTGCAGCCTCCATCAAACAGAAGGGTCAGTGTGGCCAGCCACGCCTCTGCTCAGGGGGTGGCCAACATCCCAGTCACTAGGCACTGTCCTCTCCCAGACTGACAACAAGCCACCCACAACAGCAGCAGGAAAGTATTTGTTTCTTAACTATGAATTCTCACACAAAGTATTTTCCCAACTGTCACAAAGCTGAATTGGCATGGAAGTGTAGAACTATATCATCTTGAGAGAATTTATGCTGCCCAAGAAAAAAAAACTAGTCATTTTTTGCCATGCCAAATTCATACAAGCATCTTTTCTGAAATCACTTTTTTTTCTAACTTTAAATTATGGTTGTGTACAAATGGCATTTTTTTATATGAGAAACGCAATATATAAATAAAGAAGGAAACAAAGGATAGATGTTAGGAAATAGGGAGACAGATCTTTTGCAAAAGGGAGAGGGCCCGAGAGATGCAGGGGAACAGAGAAGGCAGGGCAAGGTGACAGCGTAGTTCACATGTGTTCTGTACAGACACCAGCTTCCCACGGTCACGGGGTCATTAGGTACTGCAAATGGGGACTAGTAGAAATTAAAAACTAGAAAAAATTTAAAAAGCTCTTTTATGTTAGTGTGTAAAAAACAACACACCCTATTCTTTTAACTTTCCTTATCTAAAAGGATTATTCATTCCCATTCTTTCCTGTTAAAAATGATCTGATGACTATCTTGAAAGTATTATACATATGTCAAAGTATAGTATTTATGGAAGTGGTGAAATCTCACTACTTTTATCAAAATGAAAATTATATCATGATGTAACTCTAAATAAATATTGTTTTGCTTTTCTTTAACAGAAACAAAAATTAAAATAATCTAAAGTAGATGAACTGATTCTTCTGAAAGCATTGATTTGGGAAAACTAAAGTAAGATGTTAATCAAAATTAATTTAACGGCTCCAAAGACTCTGGGAAGAATGTCTTAGAAGGCGATGTATCCCTTGTGGCACCAGAGGTGACAGTGCGTCTACCCGGATGCTTCCGGACTGCTTTGTCATGTGCATGCGTTTGTAAACACTATGTTTCCGATTTTGCTCCTCAGTGGCATTTAATTCCTGGAGGCCTGACTCCCAGCCCCCTGGTTTTATCTCTAACATGTCTGCAGCCTCATCTGGTTTCTACAGCATGTCAGATGGAAGCTTCGCGCTAATTTGGAAAAATCAGTTCTCACATCCAGTGCTGAGAGACTGATAACTGAATTCTCAAATGAACCACACATTTTCAGAGATGAAGTACAGAGCCTTGTTCAACGACTGTGCTTTCCCACAGTGTAAATTCTTCAGACTCAGCTGTCAACACAGAAGTGCGCAACATAAAAGCGGCTTTAACTTGATGACTTTTTCCTCTGAAGCCATAAAAATGAAATGGATACTATACTCTCCTTTAAGTTACTCCATCTTCTAATGAGATCTGTTTCTTGGAGACAGTGAGAGCTCGTGTGTCCCTTGAAGTTCTTAGGAGATCAAAGTCGCCTTCTTGCTGAATTAAAAAACAAACATTTTTTCTCCCACACAAATATTTCTGCTGGAGAACAGACCAGACACAATGTTAAAAGAAGACTTTTCTTACTAACTGCCCTACACACAGCCGAGGCCAAATAGTTGACAGTGGGTTCTCTAAAAAGCTCCTCTGGGTTTTGGAACTGGACACAGCCTTCTCTTGAACCCAGCATCTTTCGCACTCCTGGATGGGGCTCCCATTTCTCAGATGGCCCCCAGGTTCGACTCCACCTCCTGTAACCCTACACGGTGGGATGTGGCCAGATGTCCAGCACCCTTTGGTCACCAGAGCCATGAAGAATCGCAGGCACAGCCCGCATTTAAAGCAGCTATGAGAAACAAAAGCCAAGGTTAGGACGATCTTAAGAGAGCAAGGAGCAAGGAAAGCGAAGAGAAGTGATGATTTTTAGAGCAGGCTAGTTAACCATTGCAAACACTGCAGGAGATTAAGGAGCTACAGAAAGCCACTGTGATCTTGGGGAGCAGTCAGAGGGACCCTCCACTGGAGCAAAGGTAGGTGGGAAGTGGCCAAAGGTGGAGGAGCATTGAGGAGTGGAGTCCTAGCCCGGCTCTGAACACAAACGTGTACACCGTGGCCTATCACCTTTAGGAGGAAACCTGAGCTTTCCATGGGTGGGCAGCAGGACTGAAGGCCGGGGGAAGACGAGTGGCAGAAAAGAGAAAAGGACAGCAAGTGAAATGCAAACAGGATAATTCACGGAGAATATCAACGCAATTGAGAACAAAGCCAGAAAGGTCAGAGGAGCACACTGAGAGTTATGCCTTTGTCCCCAACACAGGAGAAATAATGGGACAACCAGAAGCTGCAAGGAGAGGAAGAAGGCACTGGTTGAGGGAGTTTCATGTCTGTGTAAGGTTCAGAGTTGCCCCTTGGAACACAGGCTAGATCGGAACAAACACAAACTCACTCTGGTGGAGTTTCGCTGAGGGCTTGTGATGTTTTTCTCCAGGGACCATTGAACGATGGAGCGACCGAAGCAGTTTGGGGGTCCTCAGAAGCAAAGGCAGGGAAGATACAGGGCAGAATTGCAAGGCAGATAAGCAAATGTCCTGAGGCTACAGGGAACTGGAAACCTGAGTCTCACTCGCTAATGAAGTGGTGAACGGCCGAAGAAAAGGTCAAAGGTAGGGCTGGGGTTGGGTGGCTTTATCTCCTGGGACTATTGGCAGACTTAAACACCTATGATTGAGTAACAATAAAACCATGATAGCATTATAGACACCATTATACAAATCACCGACGTATGTATAAGTGAACAACCAAAAATTAAACCGACCTGTAGATAGAGTGCATTAGGATCACTGAGTTAAAAATTGGAATGAAATTATTGTTTATTTTAAGCATTACAGTTTGCAGGTTTTCTGCTATACTAAATCTTTATATACTCTAAAAATGGGAAAGAGTGATTTACAAGTATCAGTTACTTCTTGAAGTAGTTAAGCCACTGCTTTTGAAGTCCAGGAAACTGGATTCTTGTTACAAAACTTCCACTACAGGGATACAAAATGTATCGTCCTCAACTCTCTCCCCTGTAAATGGGACAGGTGGTTTTGAAAGATTAAGGGTGAACCCAGTGGAGCCTGGACTGAGTCCCTTGGGGTGCTGGGAACAGCACCGCCATAGCGCTGCTGGCCTCAAATCTGTCCCACACTCACCCTTCCTGCGTGTGCTGTCCACCGAGGAGGCCCGAGGCCCTGCCCTGCGGGTCCGCTGGGCCCGGCAGGCGTGCTGCCCACGGCCTTATCTTTTTCCATTGCTTCCCTTCCTTCCGTAGCTTGGTCAGATCTGCCTTCCCACAGCAAGGGCTGGGAACCATCGCCTTTGGCGCAGGACAGCCACTTCCTGAGCTGTACTCTCTCTTTGCCCTGCTTTCTCACACCCTAGCTGGGAAGGGCGCCGGGCTCCAGCCCTGGCCACCAGCCTACCGTTGAGCCACCTGGAGTCGTGCTGCTCCGTCCTGATGGGGTGGTGGTGCCCGAGGGTGCGGAAGATGGCGAAGTCTCTCCCCATGAAGTCGGCGGCCGTGCCGGAGTACAGCTCTCCATCTGGGGAAGACAGAAGCCCACAGTGTGGCACTGAACTCAGCGCGGAGGGACAACAGCCAGGACCACGCAAGCTGCTTGCCGGGAGGCGGGGTGCTCTCTGCATGTTATAGGAGCGAACTGTACTCCGTCTTGTTCTTTACTATAGGGACTTTTTCTCAGATTACCAGCTCATGACCATTCATGTCTATCACATATAAATGTCTAAGTCCTCACTTCATACTTAGAAAACCTGAGCAAATATCACTCTGTGAACATTGTCAATAGGACATTTTAATCTTTTTCACTATGACCATTGAGAAACTTACAAAATGCAAGGTATAAACTATACCCCATTATTTCCAGTTATATTTGTTAACTACTATGGCTCCAGTAACCTTATTTAGATAGGTAGAGTATCATAGTGAAATCTTGCTTATAGCTTATTTTAACAACAAGGAAATCTTTTATATGCTTTTAATCTAATGGGATCTGAATTAATGAGATTTTCCTATTATTTAGAAAGAACCAATATTTTCCTTGCCAATTTTTTTCCCGGCTTCTTATTTTTAATGTATCTAGTGACAGAAGTGCTGCAACTTGGCACAAGCTATTATACAGCCCCAAATAAGCCCACTGCAGCCTTCAGTACAACAGAAATGCATTTGAAGAGGAAGAAAGTTTGGCAAACCAAGGTCATAATTACTGCAGTTCAAACTTCCCCTGCGTTGTGTCCTGTTGGTACTTAAATTGAATTAACTCAGGCCAACTTTAATGATGCAGGAATCACAACCAGAAAGTAAAGAGCAGAAGGGAAAAGAAATAAGGCAGGAGGAAGAGCAGTTATACGTCCCAAGCACGACCCTGTGTGGTGAGGTGGTCAGGCCCCGTGTGATGCTGTCACATTGTCTCCCTCAGTTGTCAGCAGACCTACGATGAAAACAACGCTGTCCCTAGTTCATGCGCCAAGCAGCGGACAATCGGCTCAGGCCTTGGCCTGTCACGGTGAAGGTCCAAGCCAGGCCCAGTTCACTGCGCTAGACTGCCTTTCAAATAACTGAGTTTGTAAATGTTATGTTCTCTGCCCTTGAAACAGAAAGTGCCGCATATTATATCTTCCAGATAACAATAACTGCCTGCCTACCTACAGGGAGTTATTGTGTTTGCAAAACAAAATCACAAAAACATGAACAGTTCTTCAAGTAATTCACAATTCTTACAGCAAACCTGAACATTGTTCTGTAGATATTGGGTGGATTAATGTTTTATATTCTTTGATTTGCAAAATATTGAGAAAGTGAAGGATGTGTGAATGAATGATAACTTGAACATTTGTATAGCACCATTCTGTCCCAGTATCTTCCTATCAGACATGGGAGAATTATCTTCAAGTAAAAATGCCTCTTGGAAGATCTTGGCAATCTAATTCCTTCTATACTATGCTCAATTTTCCCTCCCAGGTAAAAGCTTTGCAACGTGAAGTAGATTTTCTCAGTGGTCCAGCCCCTGCCAGTCCTGCAGTAGTGACTTGGATCTGTTCTGTTTGTGTAGACTTCATGTTGCTCCATCCCTGGTCAGCTACGTCTGGCAGCTGAGCACTGGGCCTGCTGGGTGGACACCTCATCTCGGGAAGTGGGGGGAAAGATGTCATTTATTCTGAATTGTATCTCAAGAGAGACAATGCATCCGCTAGACAGCATGCTGGGGAAGGAAGAGTAAAGATGTGTCCTTCTCCATCCTCACACTGGGCTACTGGAATTCAGAAGCAAGCTGTGTTTTCTTCACGTAAGTGTCCGGTATGAAGCTGACTCGGTCTCCATAAAATGTGATGCAATAATATTTTACCTCACCCAAAGTTAAGAAATAGCTTTTTTAAATACACAAAATGCTATGAATAAGCTACTTATTAATTTCAAAGGCTTTGAAATAATGTAATGCCTATTAGCTCTTTGTTTTGACCCAAATTTAATCTTTACAACATTGTTATTGATGTTCATGGTTCATGTTTTTACAGAGTTGATGCATAGATGTAGTACATTTTTAAACATCAAGCGATGGTTTTTCTTCATCTGTGAATAAGATGTTAGTTTAAAATATTTCGTGAAAGCCGCCTAAAATGGTCATGCTAATTTTAAATATTTTTCCTGTTGGAACAGCTCGGGGGGAGAATCCTTGTGTCCTTCCTACCTTGACAAATTAAAAGCTTAAGATTATTAGTTGAATCTCATTGCCTACTAAATACGTTAAGTGATCAAATTCAAAAGTTAAAATAGAACGATGGAAAGGCGAAGATTTAACAGATCTATATCACAATATCACTTTATATCAGCTAGCCATGTGCAAATGGAGAATTAATCAGAAATGGTAATGAATATAACTGATTAATCATTCTGTTTGTTATTTATCATCATTAAATAATAAAATCAATTGTAACAATTCTCATTTCATATAACCTATTCAGGAGGGAGTTGGAATAACAATGATGACAACAAAACTCTTATTTGGAAAAAGAAATGTGCTTGTTTCCCCTATTCATTTGTTTGGCCTTATTATAATTTTCTGTTTCATTCACTTTCATAGGAGGATAGCAAAAACCAATTTAAATGAAAAGAAAGGCAGAAGACAGATTTCCTCTTTATAACAGACAGGAAGGTCATTCAGACAAAGTAGGAGATGTCTTCACCGAAAGATTAACTCAACTTACACCGGAAAGAGGATCCAATGTAAAAATGGACTCTCCAGCCTGCGGTAGTTCCCAGTTTAGGCACTGGCCACCTGCAGCCAAAGGAAGCTACCTCCCACCCATATTAACTTTGGCAAGAGTCAGGCCTGTCCTGGCCTGGAGGGCTGGAGGGCCAGAGAGCTGGGGGCTTTTATGGGCCCCTTCTCTCACCCTTGTTCAGTGTCAGTCACTGTTTCTCTGCCCTAGAGCTCGGATCCGGTTTCCTGCTGAGATTTCTGCGGGATCTTATCAAGCACAACTGCCTCAGATAAGGCATGATGCCTTTGCTATTTTTGCCCAAAAATATAGATTGAAAAATATCTACTGTGCATTTCATGTTACATAGAAACACAGTATTAACCCAGAGGGCCACAATTTCTAAAGGTGTATCGTATTCTATGGCTATTTCAAATGATTTAATGATACCTGATTATAAAAAAATGTATTATCCCCCAGTTGCTTTATTTCTGGAGAACAGATGTGCTTAAAAAGCCCATTGCCCAGCTTCTTTTGTAGTTTCCAGGATATTTATACAGTTATCAAATTATATGTTGATTCTTGAGCATAGTGTTAATTTGACAATTTTCTGATCCCAAATATAAATCTTCTTGAGAATATGAAGTAGTATATTGGGGTAAAAGTTGTTCTGCAATGACTCAAGTGGGATTATAATTGTGATATACACCTTTGAGCTTTACAAATACTCTAAGCCTCTAGTGAGAGAAAACATGACATTTGTCCAGTTTTATCAAATTGGCGGTAGAGTTCTATATTCAAGGAATTGTTATATACATCAGAAGTGCTTGTTGATCTGTCCAATTTGATCTGTAAGAGTTGGTACAACAAAATTACATTGCAGCTTGATATCTTAAAAAATCATACATTTGCACCAAGAGAAATTAGTACTGACAGATCCCACTGCCCATCTAGAAACTGTCAGAAATGAAAGTGTGTCTATCTGAGTCAGCCGTGATTCTCTCCTAACTATGAGAGTTTTTTAAACTGTCTTTAAGCACAGCATCCTTCACTGAGAGTTTTGTGGACTCTCTTTCCAGCAAGGCTGAGTTTCCTGAGAAGCTTGTGATCAGAACCAAAGTTCATATGTACTCTAGGCTTTCTGCGTGAAGCTCAAAATCAAATAAAACTATGGCTTGTGTCAGATTACAATTCCTGAGGAGGGTGTGGTGCGGAGAGACTGAAGGTGGTCAGAATACATCTCCTGGTGAAATTGCTGTACAGCTGTACAGGTGAAAAGTGAGGCACGGATGTGAGCAAAATCAAACAATCCTCCTGACCAAGCCATTATGCTGTTAACACCTCGAGCAAGTTCCTCTTGCAGAGCAGCATAGTAATTAGAAACAGGAGGAAAGAGGAAATTTATGTCTCTGTCTCCCGCTCTCTCACAGACTACAAGTGTGGAAATAATCTTCCATTTTTATATTTATTGAGCACCGCCTCTGTACTTGATTTGTGCAGGTTTTGTGACTTACATTTGTATTTTATAAACAACTTTTTCTTGAGCAGTAAAATGTGTACAAGGTACAAACTTAAAAATATAAAATATATAAGGCATCAGATCTACTTCTCAGCCTCCCCAGGCAATCACTGCTACTCGTTTTTTTTTTTTTTTTTTGGTAACCTGCTCCTGCTTCAGATATATTCCAGAAATGTCCACACACTCAAAACAGTAGTGTGTTATTACATTGTCTTACTTAACTCTCACAATGAGTTTGTGGAATTAGCATGGCACATGCTTGTATGTATAGGAACTGAGAGTTCAGAGAAGTTCAGATAATTTTCTCAATCTCTATTTAATTAATTTAGGGAATATCTTGCTTGCTCTAATACTCTGCAAGAGTACCTCCTAATGTCAAATTATGTTCCTTCCAGAGGCAAGGCAAAATTCCAGGTTGAAAATATAAACCTTAGCTGAAAGTCCTGGACCTTTGAAATAGTTCTCAATGTCTTTCGGTGATGGAATATTTCTCAATTATTTGTGCTACATTGCCTGGGAAAGATTTCAATAAGGAAATAAAATTACTCTCAAGTTGACTATTTCTTTCACATCATGAAAATGGGAACTGATACTTAATTGGTGTGGAACACATCAGGTTTTATTCTCGTGTTTACACCTGGCATGAATTCTGATTTGGGGAGCAACTGTTATCTTTAATAAAGATAAAGTCATAAAAAGATCTGCAGGTGGAAGAAATCAGAAATATTTTAAATATAAATTCTGGAGCTATTTCTTATTGACAAAATGATCATTATTAAAGGAGACGAGTGGTGAAATTAACCATACTAAGGTGATTTGAGATATCGAGAGCAGATTATAGTGTGGTCATGCGTCAGTCAGGGGAGAAACCACATTTTCCATGGTTACCATTTTTAAAGTCCACAGCATTTTGGGAAGAAGTTATCCTAAACCTTGGTAATTTAGGAAAATTGAATGTTTTAGCTGTTATCTGGTTTTAAAGTTTACTAAAATGAAACCATTTTGTATTGAGATTAGAAGTATAAAAAATACCTGTTGTCAAGACCCACCTGTCCACGTTACAGATGGTTTGAACCAACACTGCAATTTTATTTTCCAGCTTAGAACCACGTCAGAATGTCTATGTTATGTGCTGAAAGGAGGGGAATGTATCCAAATTACCTGTGAGGACAGGCCTCCCTAATGGTTATCTTTAGATATACAAAGAGCAACCTGAGTATTTCAGAGACAGCTCTCTGACATCTCTGTACATAAAACAGTTTCAGAAGTGCTGTGGACAATATTTATGTTAAAAGCTCCATTAAATTAGTGAGCATTCTCTTTAAAGCAGAGTATGAAAATGCCAAGAAAAACTCAATGTGGAGCATTAAATGTGCTGTGAGAAGAATAATTTATAACCCAGTTATGGAGGAAATAACTTCAATTTAAGGAGTTACTACTCTTCAATTAAAATGGTCTTGCACGTATTTTGAGAGATATTACGGGACATACTATGGTTCATTCCCATTTCAGTATCTTACCATTCAAGTATTCAAAAATTAAATTATTCAGCCTTGTCAATAAGCACTGCATGTCTCTGCCAGTTACTAAATTATCTTGCTGGATTGTTATGTTAGCTCTGGAATTCCATATTAAGGTTGTTTTTAATCAAATGTGCATTGTTCTTTCTCAGCCACTTGACTCACTGAATTCCCTCATTGTCTTTTCCTTTTCATAAACCTATACAGCTTTCTAAAAGAAATTATACTATAAAACCAAATCTAGGGAGTTTCATAGGCTTTGTGGACTTGGTGCAGCTGCATACCATGGGATGTGTGTAATTCTCTCCTGTCATCATCCTTTCTCAGTGGAATATGAAAATAAATAACCAAGCAAATCCCACCACAAACTGAGGAGGCTTTGGACACACTTGTACATGCCGTGTTTTGAGGAAAATCCAGCATTTTTTCAGTGTGTAATTTAAATAAATATAGGTTGCAAGTTAGGACAAAGTATGACTCCTTCTCTTTGTTTAAGGAAAATTTCAAATTTAAGACAAATGTGAGCCAGGGGAAGGACTCTGCCGTAAGGACTAGGGCCCCACTGGTGGGGAAACTGAGTGTGCTCAGTGAGTGGCATTCTCTCACTCGTACATTTCTGTTAAGATGCTATCTGAACGGATCAAGTGGAATAAAACTGTCTAAATGTGAAGAGCAACAGAAGAAATAATATACTGCAATGGTTTCATTCTCAATGAGATAGGGATTAGTAATAAAGCAGGCACTGGACTAGACAATGTGACTAGTGTTTTCTTTTCTTGAATAGAAAAAAATCTTATTTGTAAAATAATGAAAAACCTTATGAATTTATGACACATCAGATAATAACTAAATTTACTTGTTATAAACTTAGACTTATTATTCAAAAATCCCACCAGTAATTTTATATTTGATGATTTTTACTATTATTTTTATTGTGTTATCAAATAATTAGCAGAATTCATTACCCAGAATTTTTACATGCATTAGGAAGCTCAAAAGCTACAAAAAAAAAGGTAAATTCAAAAGAAAGCAAAAGAGAAGGAAGGAGGAAAGGGGAGGAGGGAAAAACTACTTCATGTTTGGTCACTTTTTGTTTGTTTATTTAACTACAGTTTGGAAATGACAAAAGGTTATATAAATAAAATCATTTGCCTTTCAATTCAGACTAAAAATTCCTCCTTCTTCCATCTTCCTACTTCTAATAAGCATTCCCTTCCCATCTGCAACACTGAGGGGAAAGAGGAAAAACAGAAAGTTTGAAAAACAAATAGCAAGAGGAAAGGGTAGAGAAAATCATGTAAAATACTGGACTATAGTTAATTAACCACAAAAAGAGTGACCTAGCCACTCAACGTGAAAGCAGCGTCCCTTGGCATGGCTCATCTGTCAGGAGAGCAAAGTGAGAGACGGGCACAGCGCTGTCTGCCAGCTCTGCCGCCCTGTGGGGAGGTCATGCTGGTGACCAGTGTGGACACAGAGGCGAAGCGTGGGCTGAAATTACAGCGTAGACAGAATGACAGTTTTCATGCTATTTTTCCTAATTCTTTAAGCACCCTTTTTCCGAAATCAAAGTCAATTTTTTTTATAGAATTACATTCAAGTGCAGATGCATAAACACTGAGCAGGTTACCTCAGTTACACTATGAAAGCATCATGATGAAAAAGGATCAGATTAAATTTTCAGAACTAAAACAGTTCAGTGTTGTTCATGGTTTTCAAAATATTAGAGTCTACCACTGGTGTTCTCCTCCCAAAATTATTTGTGATTAATGATGGAAAATCTTGTAGACTAAAACAAGAATGTACAAGCTGTCACTCATAGGGATTCACCTTGAACTGCTTGTCAACAACGTACCTACTAGAAGAGATGCCGTCAGCAATTTGGGGTCGTATGGACTCTTCCCGCGGCCGTTTTCAAAATGTGAGTCCTCCAATTTAAAAATGTTGTCCTGTAGATTAAAGCACAAGAGGAATTTCATATATTTGCAAAAGGAAGGGTTTTCGACTTGTTAACCAGAGAGAGGTTGAATGGTGGTGTACGACAAGGAGTGTAAACTGTATGTAGAGAGGACAGAATGTAATTCATTTTGTGCATCAAAACAGCCATTCCTGGTCAATGTGTGTGTCACGTGGTGGATTTGAGTATCAGAGAGCAAACTGCAAGTCACAGTGTGCAAGGCAATGCTAAGGGACAGGATGAACCCTGGGAGGGGCGGAAGGCATTTTGCATGCAAGTATGCCAAGATTTATCCTAATGGCTCTTGGAAAAATAATTTTAAATTTACATAAAGTGACTCATTTTCTTCCTTGACAGAGAAGATCACAGGCGTCTGGAATGTATTACACTGCCCTGCTATTTTTGTGGGTACTTTCTATTGACAAGTGCTGCCTTTCCCCTGCCTACTTGGTACACTGCGGGGGCTCACACGCTGCTCCTGAACTTTAAGCTGACTCCATCCCTCTCTGCCCCTCTCCAAGGGGACGTCGCACCATCAGCGGGCGTGTGCCTGGTGGTCCCACCAGGACACAGGCACGTTTTGGTCATGGGAAGCCGGCTCTGTTGGAGCCCTACCCCCAGAGACAGGAAGAACTTTCGACTGCATACAAGATTATGCTCAGGTCCGGAGCAGGTAGTTGCTGGGCAGCAAGAGGACAAGTACCTGGCCAAGGAGGTAACTGGGCTCATGCGACTCACTTCTGCAACCTTCACGTGACAGAGGAGTCCGTTTGGAGACATTTTTGAACATGCTTTTGAGACCCGGGTACCCGGGAATTAATTATGGCAGAATCTGTATGCTTTTCCCAGTAGCACATGAACTTGTCCACAGACAGAACTAGAAGAGCTCTTTTGGCAGTTTGTCTCCTGTTCACATAAAAGCATTTTCTCTCTTCTTTGAATAGTAAATGGCGCTCCTTTTATGGCCAATGAAGATCACTTTATTTAACATTTAATACTTCTGACGGAGCCAATGGCAGGGTCTCCAGTTATGACTCTGAAGCCTCCCCTGAACTGGGAAGGACCCTGAAAAGCGAAGCCAGCAGCAGTCCCTCCTGCTCGGTGGCTGCAAGCTCCCCGCTCCCATCCGTTCTGCGCTGGTGAGCAGCTGTCCCTGCACCAGGGCGCTGCACCTCGGGTCTAAGCTGAAGGCTGCGGTGCAGCCCTGGGCTTTCTCAGAACCGGGCCTTGTCCCAGTCGGACGGGACTGAGAGAGCGGAAGTCGGACTCCGGTCCCACTCCATGTCTCCGTCCCTGCCCCAAAGCCAATGTGCACAAGATTATTTAACCTTGAAGACTTATCCGGGGATTTAGCTCAGTGGTTTAGGCGCCTGCCTTACAAACCCAAGGTCCCTAGTTCGATCCCCGGTACCATAAAAGAAACAAGAAAAAAAAGAAAGCAAGGCTTATCCAGAGGGTTACAAAATGTATACGAGGATTTTAATGTAGCAAAATAAAAACCAAATGTTACTTATTTCATTCTATTAATAATATTCATATCAAAATTATACTCAATAATATGAAAATTGAACACACATGTTTATTGTCAAATTTCCAAACATACTATGAAAGAAGTATTATTAAAGACATTTACACAAATTGAGAAATACTAAACTTGTCCACAAATATAATTGGGACTTGAATATTATATTTGTACCATGGAAATTATTGACCTATGCAAATAAAGATATTGTAAAAGATATTTATTAGACATAAACAATAAATATTTTGATATCCATGTGTATTTCAATTAAAATTAAGAAATATATAAGCTGAGGAAAAATATACACTCTACTAAAACAAACTGTAGCAAATACTTTTAGAATTTTATATATATAATTATATCAGGTTAGAGGAAGAAGGGAGAAGCGGTGATGTGTTGGAAGATATTTTTGACGATTATTACATTTTTTGTACTCATCAGACATTTTATAGCACTGACAATTATAGAAGAGCAAGAGACCCTTATGGTCTGGGATCACATGTCCAAGTTAATCAAAGAATGTGAGGTAGATGAGAAGGACTTCCGATCTCGTGTAATATTTGATTTACAAGGTAAAGGTTTAGACTTCACAGGAAGAGAGGTTAAACACATTGGTTATGGGTCAGGAGAAGATGAAAACTATTCTTCGTCATGGTGTCAGGTGATACGTTCAAATGTTTCCTTCCTTATGTTCAACTCCATAAATAAATAGTAAGTTAATCGCCTCTTTATGGATACTCAATACCTCTCTGCTCAATGTAACTCTTACCCAAATCTCTGAGTGCCTACCATGTAAATCTTTTCTATTTCCATATGATTCTAAAGAGGGGCAAAACAAATTGCATTTCCTTACCAGCTTAGTCAGTTGGGGGGCTGGAATAAATGTAATCTGATTTCTGAAAGCAGCAGTAGAGTATTTCTTACACACCAGTGTTTGTAGTGTAAAATTCCGAACAGTTACATGGAATAATGGGGTCTGAAGTACTGAAACTGGGCAGAACTCAGTGTTACCTGTGGCTCTGCCTTCATTAACTCTGGGCCTCAGGCAAATCCCTAAGCTCTCATAAAACTCAGATTCTTCCTCCATAACAGGATAAGAAAATCTCGTAACTGATGTGAAGATATATCCTAACAATGCACATGAAACAGACTCACTATGCCTTCAAAAATTGTTTTTGTCCCATTTCCATTGTTTGTATTTGGTACAGTAAAATCATTCTGTCCTACACTGATCAAAAGCCCTCATGCCACAGTGGAGATAAATGACTGCTTATCTTTCATTAGTAAAAATTAAACCAGATGTTAATTATATGTATATTCTTTAGTTTCTCCCAAGTACCAAGTATTCATCCCTCCTCTAGCTGGACAAGAGACAAGTTGAAAGAAAATTTTATTTTCTCAGTATGCAACTTTTTTGGAAATGAACACAACTGCTAATTTATGAAAATATTTTGTTGGGAGTTTTTTTTATTAAATTCTTTTATTGGCACATTGTAGGTATACAACACAATTACATTTCTCATTGGGAATTGTACCTTTACATAATGCATCTTGCTTCTTATTTTTTCCCCATTCCTAGCCCTCCCTTCCCTATTTACAAAGACTTTATTTCCATTTTTTCCATTTCTCATCATTTTTCCTTTCCCTTCT